AATGTGTCGTAGTAGATAATTTTTTCACCGTAGATACAAGTTAGTTCCAAAACTAGTCGTTATCTACATGTATGTTCACTCACCAGTAACTAAGAAGTCATCGTTACCAGGGCAAAAAGCCAGGTCTCGTATTAGAGATGAATGAGCCTTGATAAACATGTTAGGTGCCAGACCTTTGAAGAAAAATGAATATGACATCACCTGTGCCTCCATACAGAGATATACAGTCAATTCAAAAAACGTTGTCGTCGATCGGCTCAAGCCTACGCGACTGGACCGAAAGGAATATGGGTAAAAATCACTGAAGCGGTTAAATATTCGTTCTGAATTAATTGTTCACGCTCGTAATAACATAATAATGGCGAGAAACAATCCATCAAATGCATGTCTTCGTGTTTAGGTGAAGAAAAACAAAGTAGTTATGATTCAGTTCACAATTCCGAAAATATGAAGGCATTAAAAAACGTCTCCTTCAACACTTCCCGCTCGCCTACGAAGGTCCGTGCTGTAAACCAGGCATAACTAGTTAGATAAAATTATGGAGTCAACTCGGCTTCAATGATTACTACCCAGAGTTCCTTTCGGTCCAGTTGCGTAGGCTTGAATTGTCCGACGACAACATGTTTTGAATTGACTGTTACAATACTTGTTACAATGCTAGGTTCTGTCAGTCAAAATCGTTTGTAAAGGTCAAATCTCGTATCAATGTAAGGCCAGATCTCGTGTCACAGATGAATGAGCCATGATAAACATGTTAGTTTAAAGGAAAAATGAATATAACGTCACAAGTGCCTTCATACAACGATATTACTTTTGACAATGCTTGACTCTGTCAGTCAGAATCAAATCTCGCATTCAAGTAAGGTCAGATTTCGTGTCACAGATGAAAGAGCCATGATATACAAGTTAGTTTAAGGGAAAAATGAGTATGACGTCACATGTGCATCCATACAAAGATATTACTTGTCAAAATGCGAGGCTCTATCAGTCAGAATCGGTTATTCAGTTAGGCTAGGTTAGGTTAGTGTTGGCCGATAGTCGTTGAAGATTTATCACAAAGTATTTGATAAGATACCTCTGTAGACAAAACTACACGTAGGCAAAACGATCGTAGTGAATTGTCGGCGAAGTGACGGTCAAGTGTTGGGCAAGTGTTGGTCAACAGTCGGGCAACTGTCGACCAATAGTCGGGCAATAGTCGTTCGACACGTGTCTGCTGGTCATGAAGTAAGTATACGATTACCTAAAGGTGGTTAAGAAGAAAATCCCATTCCAGAACATCATGATGATCCTCTGATACAACAAGATACTTACGTAAAGTCAGTTTTTCCTTTCCGGTGGATTTTCTAAGTAAAGGTGACTCGGTAAGAAGATTCCACACCACTGCAGTACCTAGATAAAACACAAGACAGTTCATCTAGTTCATCCAGAGACCGAGGACTTGTATAAGGAAGATAAGGGATGATCTTTTAAGTGAGGTGACTGCTAAGAGGGCGAGTCTCGATTGGGACATAAAATGACTTGGAAATACGGCATAAAGTATCTCCGAACAATAAATTGAAATTTTCCCAGAGGATCATCCCCTGGAGCTCACGAGACACGTGTGCGCACTCCACACGGGAAACAATTCTTTCGTGGAAAACCATACTAAAGGGCTCCCTCCACCCTTATCTTGGAATCCTAAATCGACCCCGGGTTTTACATGTACAACAAGACAAGTCTTTAGCGAGACCAGGACCCAAAAAACTTACCATCTGAAAATCCAGCAGCAACTTTATTATAAGGTTCAACCACTGACCATTCAACACAAAGTGCTTGACCACGCCTTCCATTGTAAGTAGCGTTGAGAGGGCAAGGGTACAACTCCACGTGAGGCACACATTGAACCATTACTAGGAAATAGGTCAATGTCATTAGAAAAATTGCGTTGTGATTGGAGACTGATTGAGGATGGTGGACTTACTTTTATTAATTGATTTATTTTCGTCTGTTTCGTTAGCCTCGACATTAGACAAGTCACTAAGTCTTGACAGAAGGTCATCAGGATGAGGAACACTGAAGAATAAAATAAAATAGCTTTGATTCTTTAACTATTGCGATATAAATGCTGCAATTTTTGTTGGGGTACAAAGGGGATGGGGGGTCTCAAATGGGWCATACTCATTTAAACATTGGAGATATCATCATCTTGTAGCTGCAACAGAATTAAATCATTAAACAAGGAAGATTCTCAATTGTGTGTTGTCTTTCCATTAGCACGTCAATATAGCTAGAAGTCCTTCGTTCTCTGTTAGGGGACGGGAAGTCTCTAGCATATGACTTGAGCTGTTCCTTAGCAAAGTAGAAGTGATCAGCGACATATCAGTATCAATGATCAGTATATCGTTATCAGTGACTACGCAATAATGGYAGAGATAGGTGGATTATCTGCGTAAATATGATCTTTTTGTTTTGTCTTGGTTTGCTCGAGCCATGAGATATTTTGTACCCTCATTCAGGGCTCTTGAAGGGCACAGACAGAAAAACCTTCTAAGGCATTAAAAAAAATTTTCATCGCAGTTATCTTTGTGCGAAAGAGATTTTTTAGCCCCACAACTTCAGAGCTTGCTCCGCGGGCCCTGACCAGTAGCATGGTATACGTGCCATCGAGACGATCTTCTAGGTTTGCATCGTAACAGGCAAGGTTAAATGTATATGTATTTTCCTTTCGTCCTTCAATCTCCACGCCTCTCCCCTGGGGATATTCAACTAGCTACTAACCCTCGATGGGGCAAACTATAATCAAAGCAAACACCAAACAGAGACCAAGGGAGATATAGGGATTGCTTGTAGTCTAGTAGTATACTGAGGACTGACCTTATTATTCGCACAATCCCGTCACCACAAGCTAGTGCCATTAAGCCTAATCGTGAAATATTATTGTCCTAATTACACAAAGAAACAGCAATTGTAAGAAACATGAAACAATATTGATACACTACAAGTCAGTAGGCTGAGTAATTGTCATGGAACTCGTAACGAGTCTAAGATGACTGGTAACTAATTCCCAACTCAAGTTCTCAATAACCAACGTAGCTTTTTATGGAAAACGTCTCATTCAGCTGGCCACAAGAGCACTTTTACAACCAACAAGAGCAACAACAGCAGCAGCAGGAACAGCAGCACAAAACAACCACCGCCACAACAACAACAACATCAGCAGCAGAAGCACTTAGCACCAGCAGGATTAAAAATTTCAGCAGCAACGACTGTGCCAGAATTAACAACAACATCTACAACAACAATTAGAACAAAAAATAACAGTAACAACAACAACGACAACAACAAACAACAATAGCAACAGTAAAAATGACAGCACCATCACTACTACCAACAACAACAGAAGTAATACATGCTCGCTGTTTGACWGTTGTTTTCCAAGTCTTAGCATTACCCAGAGATTTAATATTATTCCTTCTATGAATAAACTGTCTTCCTTGGTGTACAATTCTCACTTCTACTCTACAAATAATGGTTCAATTACCTTGTCCACGGTTAGGGGTGGGGATTGCCAGACTCCATTCGGACACCAGGATATTCTCCATATCGGTCCAAAATCATGTGCTATAGTAAGAGCTAATGTTGGACTTTCKCCGGAGCTGGGAATAAAAGCCATGTGAAGGTGAATTGATCCATCGATCAAATGCAATCATCTCTCAACAATAGGGATCTTAAAGATTTGCAAAATCTACGACGGCGACGTCAACCGGAAGTGTAAATAACTTCACTTTGGAATTTCGTGCCTTCGTCTCTGTCTTCCCAATGRATGAGTTGCCTTTACTGACAATGTTCWGGATGATCTCCAATCAACAGAACAACAAAAGAGAAATTACTCACACTTCTGGTTGACGTCGCCGTCGTAGACTTTGCAAATATTAAGCTCTCTAATGTGGGGAAACATACGGAACCAAGAGTAACGTAGCACCAGTGCTCCTGCCTCTCCCCTATAGGGTCTCGGATGCGATTCCTGGACTCCATTCCATATAATATGTAAGTAGAGTTTCAGTCTCTCCTTTTATTTGAGGGCTTTTCTCCGGGTTCYCCATTTTCTCTTCCTCCGCATATGATTTTGTCGTGCACTGACTTTCATCAGCCCAGAGGCTGTTTAGGGGTAGCGGGGAAAAAAAGGGTTTCTTTTGGAGATGAATCGGCGGACCGTGAGTTGTATAGCAAGACCCTGTCTTACAACAGTTACATTGACGGAGTTAGGCCATGTTTGGTTTATACCTTGATGAAGTGTTCGAGAGTGTCCCTAGATTCCATACTTGAAGTAGGCCTTTTTCTTTRTGGTGTTCATAGGCGTTATGGACCTGGAAAAAATTCGCGCCAATGCTTTTATTTGAACTTATTTTGTAATGATTTACATACATGTAGTATATATTAGGATTAAATGCTCCTCATAAATTGACCAAAAATTACAAAGGAGTGAAGAGAAAAGAAGAAGAGATGAGGGAAGAGATGAGGGAAGGGAAGGGAAGGGAAGGGAAGGGAAGGGGGATTGATAAATTAAATTCCAGAAATTTATATATACCGTGTCAAATGATTTATGTGCACTGGCTATCAAGTACTGGTTGGCGTTTTGCTCCCCATCTAAAATAAAAGAAAGGTTTGCGTTATTGAATCAATGGTAAGTCGGTTAAAAGCTGTGTTCTACATATTATCACTGATGCACTTACCTGGGGTCGGACACCAACTTAGTTCCCATACAGGTCCCCCTGCGTAAAATATGCGATCTCCATGGACACCACCTGGAAGTATTCCACAGAAAGGTTAAATATTTRGGGGGTAGGGATGGTGAAAAATATCACTCGGACTGGGGAAAGGAATGTAGAATAGAACAGCACAGAAATGTTAATGTTGTCCCTASTTTTATTAAACAATTATTTGCCGAAGGCTCAGTGACTATGGGTGAATATTTACCGGGCCGCGAGTCTTGTTTCAGTATAATTATAGACTTGAATATCGGAGAAAAGACGAAATTCAGGATAAAAAACGTTTTCGTATAACTTCCGCTCATGCAAACTTTGGGGAAATCTCGTACTCGAGCGGGATTATCGTCTCAGAATCACTGGTCGTTCGACCAAATAATCACAGCGCGCAAACCTCCATATGTAAGTCTAAAATTACACAAATATCTGATAAATCAACCATCCCAAATCGTCCAAGGTTAGAATGTAAAATAAGCAAACTTGGTGGATATGCCACACAGTATGTAGTCAGTATACACTTACTRTCATCTTTAGGCAGAGCAGTGAAGACAGGTAACTGTGTATCCAACGTGTTCTGATGCTGCTCGATATTTGGTCTMACGATACGGAAGTGTGGTGATTCTGTCGAAGTTGGCATGTAACCGGAAACGTCACTATGGCAACAAAAAAGTATATAATTAATTTTATTAGTAGTACACTYGTTCACACTTATGCGTCCCAATTTTTTCATTTTTCTCGGCAACGCCTCGTGGATCCACACAACTTTGACAATGRAKTGACRATTTATTGTCAATAAGAGGACAGACCAAATAAAAAACTGATGTCTATTTGTTAAAAGGCCCTGACAATGGGTCCCAACATTTCATCCAGCATTTAGCCAACGTTTGATGGGTCAAATGTTGCGACCGTTTATCATGGCTGGGTCAAAATGTTGGGTCAAAGGTTGGGTCAAAGGTTGGGTCAAAGGTTGGGTCAAATGTTGGGTCAAAGGTTGGGTCAAATGTTGGGTCAATGATGGGTCAAATGTTGGATCAAATGTTGGGTTAAATGTTGGGTCAAAGGTTGGGCCAAATGTTGGGTCAAATGTTGGGTCAAATGTTGAGTCAAAATGTTGGGATAAAGGTTGGGCCAAATGTTGGGCCAAATGTTGGGTCAAATGTTGAGTCAAAATGTTGGGTTAAAGGTTGGGTCAAATGTTGGGAACGTTTTTCATGGTTGGGTCAAAATGTTGGGTCAAATGTTGGATCAAATGTTGGGTCAAATGTTGGGTCAAATGTTGGGTCAAAATGTTGGGTTAAAGGTTGGGTCAAAGGTTGGGTCAAATGTTGGGTCAAATGTTGAGTCAAAATGTTGGGTTAAAGGTTGGGCCAAATGTTGGGTCAAATGTTGAGTCAAAATGTTGGGTTAAAGGTTGGGTCAAATGTTGGGAACGTTTTTCATGGTTGGGTCAAAATGTTGGGTCAAATGTTGGATCAAATGTTGGGTCAAATGTTGGGTCAAATGTTGGGTCAAAATGTTGGGTTAAAGGTTGGGTCAAAGGTTGGGTCAAATGTTGGGTCAAATGTTGAGTCAAAATGTTGGGTTAAAGGTTGGGCCAAATGTTGGGTCAAATGTTGAGTCAAAATGTTGGGTTAAAGGTTGGGTCAAATGTTGGGAACGTTTTTCATGGTTGGGTCAAAATGTTGGGTCAAATGTTGGATCAAATGTTGGGTCAAATGTTGGGTCAAATGTTGGGTCAAAATGTTGGGTTAAAGGTTGGGTCAAAGGTTGGGTCAAATGTTGGGTCAAATGTTGAGTCAAAATGTTGGGTTAAAGGTTGGGCCAAATGTTGGGTCAAATGTTGAGTCAAAATGTTGGGTTAAAGGTTGGGTCAAATGTTGGGAACGTTTTTCATGGTTGGGTCAAAATGTTGGGTCAAATGTTGGATCAAATGTTGGGTCAAATGTTGGGTCAAATGTTGGGTCAAAATGTTGGGTTAAAGGTTGGGTCAAAGGTTGGGTCAAATGTTGGGTCAAATGTTGAGTCAAAATGTTGGGTTAAAGGTTGGGCCAAATGTTGGGTCAAATGTTGAGTCAAAATGTTGGGTTAAAGGTTGGGTCAAATGTTGGGAACGTTTTTCATGGTTGGGTCAAAATGTTGGGTCAAATGTTGGGACCGTTTATAAGGGCATTTAAACCGTAAATTCAAAAAGGCTTGGTGAGATTCCCGTGGTGAACAAAATATGAATTTGTGTGTGCTAAAGATCCAACGTAATCGTCTTTTGAGAGAAAATATTCCTATAGTCACCTATCTTTACCACAAGAACTTAAATTAGGGGGATGGAATGAAAAACTGGAAGAGGTCACCCAAACACTTTGAGAATACCCAAAGTAACAAATCTTCTGTTTCCTCTCATAGCTTCTTATTATCGACAAGTTACGTCTATTGGATTTCTCCAGACGTCTCATTAGAGAACATTATATAAATATTGAAGTAATTGAACGACTAGTGCATCATCTTCTTAATCTTGCTCTTTTACTCCGACGAAGGACTAGAGTCTGAAACGTCAGTTTTCTCATCTTTTCACGGTGTATAATTTACCCTTTTATCATTCCTGCTTCATTAGAAACACCGACGCAGCTCACACTAGTTTTTAGTTAGATAACTCATCTTTTTAATCAATGTGTTGGACAGTTGGAGTATATATATTTGAACATCTCACCTGGTTCGGACTCTAGACCAGTGATTGTGGGTAGGGATATGCTGGGTGAAGAACTCTTTCTTGCTGAAATTTTCTTTTCTCCTGTATTGTGAAAAAGAAATGAAGGAAATAAATTTAGGTAATTGTCACTGAAGTTTAGAAGTCAGAATAAACGAAAAACCACAGTTGGACAGTAATAGAAGATAAACTAAACCTTGGATATTTCACTGGAACTCCAGCAAAACGAAAAATAGGAAAGTCATAGCTTTTGATTTGTGCTTTTTTGTTTTCTGTTTTTGTTTTTGTTTTGTTTTGTTTTTTTTGTTTTTGGGGGGGGGGGGTCATTCACTAATCGATGTTAAACAAATAGGCCAAAGTAGTATGCAGTTGCTACTGAACTTTTTACGGCCTTGGTTAATTTTTT